GCAGAGGAGGCTGTTTATAACTTGATTTAGAAATCCAATCTCATCTGGTTTTATGGAGTTTTGTTCTATTTCATATCAAGTGCTAAAATAGCAAGGCAGCCAAAAATATATTCAGGAAATAGAATTTTTAATCACGAAACTGATCTCCTCGGGGAAATAGACCTATCTTGTTATAATAAGCTATGTTGGTGACCAGAATTTATGGACCATGTGTGTGCTCTAAATCAGAATGACCAAAGGCCTGCCTAGAGATGGGGAGTGTTAGGGGCGGTCATTCTTCCCTGTCTGCTTCCTACACGGAGGCCTCTGGCTGAGAGGGGTTGCTTACGGCACTGGTGCACTGGGTTCACAGACCTGTTTACGTGTTAATTAGTGAGGTTGATCTGTAGTTGAGCTGAAAGCTGAAATTAAGTAGGAAAGAACAAGGTGCCAGAGTTGTGTGGATGTCCGGTAGATTCAAGTATATCTGGAAGTGTGCTCCCAGGCAGTTCTGTCTATGGGCCCCAGGCTCACAGCTGGAAGGATGGTGCTTTGTCAGTTAGGGTCCTTGACCTGACCCCTCACCCTCCCCTCCCAATGCCTCCTTTATTCCTTCCTCCGTCCTTCTCTTCTGTGGGTTTGGTGAGAGCACACTGGCCTCCGTGCCGGGTGCTGGAGGGCAGCAAACACGATCAGACCCCCCTTAGAGGTGCCATGGGTTTGAGCCATTGCTATGTGCTATGTGCTATCATATCAGACCCCTAGGGTGCCTGGAGTCTAACATGCCCTCTCCGGGTGGGTGTAGAGGGCATCGTTCCTGAGTGCCTTCCTGGGAAGCCAGCCTTCCGGACAGGCTCCTTTATCAGGTCGAACCTAGCGGCACACGGAGAGCTCCCTCGGCCCCGTGGTGAGGCAGGGGCATTCCCTCGTGGCTCTTTCTCTCCCCTGGTCAAGCTGGAGGCCCAGCTGCCCTCAGGCTGGGTTGGGTTTTCTGGCTGCGCTCCCTGAGAGCAAGCACAGGAATTACTACGGTCGGTCAGTCGGGGGACGACTGCTTTCAGATCCCAAGCTTTGTTTTCCTTACCCACTGCCTGGTTTCCTGTGATTAGAAATTAGGGGTTGCTGTTTCAGCGCTGTTTATGTTCCTGTTTTTTAAGTGCTGCCTTTTACCTCTATTAGTAAGTCAGGTGTTCAGAGATAATATCACCTATCAAATTTGCTGTCTTTCTCAAATCTACCAATGGACAGTTCTGGTGGGTGAACAGTAGATTTTAGAGTTGTGGTTAATACGAGGAGTCATATGAAAATGATTATTTTCTTCTTAGAATGAAGCCAGAGTTGACTTTTCTTTTACCTTATAATCATTTATTCATCCATTCACTAAACATCCATTCTTATGTAAATGTCTCTACTCACTAGGAATAAAAATGTTTTTTCTCTGAGAGAGACAAAACGGACACCATAACATGTAGTTAGGAAGGGAATCAAACTCTAGCCTTCGGCATAATAATCAACATGGAAGAAACAAATCTGTTTTGAGTATGTTTGGGGTGAAACAACCCCTGAGAGCTGGGACATCCACCCTCGCTCTGCTGTGGGGCTGCACACAGAGACTTGGGAGTAACTATTCATTCTTGGCCCTTTATGGTGAAGTCCCCAACTCTAAGGATCCTGAGCAGATTACATGGCCCAGGGCGGAGTGCTGGCTGGTGCTCCTAACCCTCCTGGTCTGAGTGTTTTGTTAATGTTGGCACAGGTCGACCAGCTGGCTCTCTGGTATTGCCATTGTCATAGCAACTAGGATGTTTCTATAACAGTCCAGATTGGGGACCTGTAGGGTGGGAGGAATGTGTATGAGACCATGTTCATACCAGAACAAGATAATTCTGCGTTTTCATGTTTCTAAGCATCTGTTGTTCAGAGAAGGCTCTTCTTTCTTTTAATCCTAACATCGCACCCTGAAGAGAAGTGTCAGCTACTGTTGCTTGTGTTCTGAGGGTCTTTGGAGAATAAACGGGAGCAACATCCCAGTTCTGTATTTTCCACAATGACCATCTCCCTTAGACTTTCAATAAAGTATTTTTTTTCTCATTTTAAGAAATATAGGAACTTGCAGCTAATTATCTCATTTGTTGCAAAAAAATAATTTTCAAAGGGAAATATGTCACATTATAAAGGTGACAGCTTATTGACTAATAAAGTCAGGCTGCTTTGAGGTTAAAGATTTGTGAACACTGCAAAAATGTGGGTGTGTGAACACTGCAGAAACAGAACTGAAGACTGACAGACCCCATGTCGGGCTGGTGTGTGTGCTGCCTGCTCAGGTCAGCTCAGTAGAAGGAACAGGCACCAGGAAACCTGTGTCTGCTCCTCTGTGTACCTGCCCCTCCCCCTCCCTGTCTGGAGCAGCCCATGGGGCCTCATCCAACCCTTTCCTGCCTGTGGGTTCGTCACTCACTCTGTATGCCTGTGCATGTGCACATATGACCTTTCACATCTGCCAGAAGCCTTCAGAGAATCTGTCTTTTGACATTTAACAACTGACTCGAAGCTTGGCTCAGATTCAAATGCCTCTTACCAGGCATTTGGCCATGCCTGGCCCAAACATTGGCCATGTTTTTATTTGCTCAATTTATGTAGAAAATGGCATATTCTGCCCTGGCCAGTTTGGCTCAGTGGTTAGAGCATAGGCCTGCAGTCCAGAGAGACCCGGGTTCGGTTCCTGCTAAGGGCACGTACCTCGGTTGCAGTTTGTCCCCGGCCCTGGCTGGTCGTGCGGGTGGCAGCCACTCGATGTGTCCCTTTCACATCGATGTTTCTCTCTTTCTCTGTCTTCCTCTTTCTCCCTCCCACTCTATCTTAACAAAAAAGTGGAAAAATGTCCTCGGGTGAGGATAAAAAAAAAAAGGCATATTCTGGAAGGAAGTGGTGTAATGTTAAGGTGTTTTAAGGATAATAGTGGCTATAAGAAAACATTTATTTATTATTTTGTTTTCTTCACCAACTGACAGCCATGGATGATTCCTTGATGAGAAAGAAAAATTTCTGGAACCATTTGGATTAGAAGAGTCGCAGAGCTAGAGGGGCCTTGGAGAGCTCTTTTATAGTTGGGGAAACTGAGGCCCAGAGGAGTAGGTGTTATGCAGGAAATGACCACATGCACAGATTTCGACTGGTACTGTTGGAAATCCTAAAAAACACCTTGGTGCATCAGAAATAAGATTTATCAGCACAGAAAACATCCACTCAGTTTTTGAGTATCTTGTGCTAGCTTGCTGCTCTCCTCAGTCTCAAGTATTAATGTTAATGAAAAGTTAAAAAAGAAAAGCTTCAAACAAATGGAGTTGATCTCTGCCTTGGGAGGTGCTGGCAGGCCAGCCTGCATGTGGACGTCTTTTCCGAAGAGCTGATTTCCCCTAGTTATTATGTATGTTTTTGTTGCGGTTATGCAAAAAAAGGTGTGGCTGCACTGGGTGGGTTTGATGCTGGGCGGTCAGCACTGAGCTCTGAAGATGGAGTTTGGAGGAACTTCTGTTCTAGTTTTGGTTTGGTTTCTGTTGCGTTTTTTTTTTTTCCTTCCAGTTTTAACAAGAGAGAGGTAGGTTGGCCCTGAGTGGTGTTAACAGGTATTATCAGCATGTGCCTGGGCTGTTGTTGGCATTGTGCTGTCCTCGCTTTCTGGTGCTGGGTCTGGTGCCTATGGATGCCCAGGGCCAGGCATCTTTAGAACTTAAATGACTTGGTGACAAGGAGGACTCTGGGACGTGATAGTATGTTCAAGGCATTTCTTCCATGGAGTGGACTTCACCAGGGCATCAGCTGTCCCGATCAAAAGCCACCTCTCGTTCATTCCTGTTCTCTCAGCTCACAAGTAAACAGGGCTGTTGGGACAAGCCCTTCATACTTACCCCCAGCTTCTTGCAGAGGATGTCAGCCACTGTGGTTTGATAATTATCTCTAGACGGCCCCAGGGTCAAATAGGGGCTTGTGACATGGTGGGCATGTTTTTCAGTGCTGGCCGGGCAAGCTGGCTTTCTTGAAGTGTCTCTTCCCTTTTCTCCAGATGTTTCGATGCTTGCTTGTAGGGCCCTGTGCGGAGGAATGGGCTTGTGTGCCTAGAGCAGCTATCTGTTTCTTGACTTTTTCCTAACTGGCTAATCACTCGGTATTTTAAACAGCTGTAGTTCATAGTTTACTCTTGTCAATAAAAGAGTCCTTCTTCTTAATTATTGCCCCAACTTTGACCTACTATTATAAAATTAAATTCAAAATAAAAAGGGACCTGGGGTGAGGGGTGTTGAATGGTGAAACATAATGTGGTACATACAATGGAATATCACAGCCTTGAAAAGGAAGGAGATTCTGACACATGCCACATCATGGGTGAACCTTGAGGGCATTAATCTCAGTAAAATAAACCAGAGACGAAGGACAGATACTGTATGATTCCACTTCTATGAGGTTTCTAGAGTAGTCAGATTCGGAGAAACAGAAAGTAGGGTGGTTGCCAGGGGGTAGGAGAGGAGGAAATGGGGAGTTGTTGTTTAGTGAGTAGAGTTTTGTTTTGCAAGATGAAAAAGTTCTAGAGACTAGTTGCACAACAGTGTGAGTATACTTAACACTGCCGAACTGTACACTTAAAGATGATTAAGATGATCAATTTTAACTTATACATATCTTACCATAATTTCAACATTAAAAAAATTAAAGGGACTAATGTGAGTAAAACAAAACAAATAATCCTTAATTTCTAGGCTGATGGATTCCTACTTTTATCAGTTTGTTTTAGGGTTCATGTGTATGTTACCTGGCATTTTTAACAGTAAAAATGGTATTTTCATCAATATTTTGACTTGTGGTAGCAAGAAAACCAAGATCCTATAAAGACCTAATGAATGTACAAAAGTGAAAGCTGGTGCATTGCTATGAAATAAATCCATAATTTGGAAATATGCCTGTGATTAACATGGGGACTAAATAATTGTATGCTATGTTGTGATTATTTACACTTTCTCTTTTAGGTGAAGCTAAAAATCTTCCCACTTACCCAGGGCCAAATAAGATGCGAGATTGCTATTGCACCGTGAACCTGGACCAAGAGGAGGTTTTCAGGACCAAAATCGTGGAGAAATCACTCTGGTAATGTCTGCTCTTTTTTGATACTGATAAGTTTTATTCTGTATGTGAAATATCCTGAACACTTATGTCATCTTGCCATCTTCTGTGTTGTTATAGTGAGGATTAGGAAATGTTCATATGGGCTCTGGCTTACAGGGCACTTGTAGCCTGAGCTTCCGCCCTCAGGGGTGAACTGATACTCTCCAGATGCTCATGGTGTCCAGGACTGGACAGCTTATGGAACAAAGCACACTATGTAATTGTTTATTTGCCTCTGAGATGATTTCTTATAGGAGAGGAACTGGAAAGTGTATACTGCAACAGAAGAGTACAAATCAAGGATTTTGAGTGGGTAAATATTTGGAAAGCTTTTTTTTTAACCACCTTCCTTTAAATGTATCAAGAGAAGCATGCCCAGGATGTTCATGGAAGTAACTGTTTACTAAGGTAGGGTACCTAGAAAACATTTATTGATAGAAGTTGAGGAAGACAGGGGTCAGGTAAGAAAAAGCAGCACGTCTAACAGGTCTTAAGATTGAGAAGTTTGCTGTATAATGAAAACATTACTGCTTCTCAACTTTAGTTTTCCTAAGCATCACTTGGAAGGCTTATTAAAAACAGGTGTCTGCCTGGGAAGGGAACAGATTAGAGAATCTCTCTTTTAGGCGAGGTTGAGAAATGGGAACTATTGTCTTCAAAATATTTCAGACAGATTTAGAAGTAGAAATTACGGTTTCTGGTTTTGGTGGCACTAGAAAATGTTTTTGTGAAGCAGGAAAGAGAGGATGAGAGCGAAATAAAAATAATGATGCATTACTACTGTCCTTTCTGGGAAATCAACTGTGAAATAGCCAGAATCAGGTGGTAGCCCCTAAAACGCTATCATAAGAAGCCAGTTAACTCTAGTGAGTGAACTAAGGTAATACTCAGAGCTTCGAACCCCTTCACAGACTATTTATATTTTCCTTACAGATAGTTTTAATAAACTTTCATTTTTTTTGTTTATTAATTTATTCATTAGCTTAGTGAATATTTATTGAGTACTTATCTAATATGCCAGATAAGGAGATGGGTGCTGTATGCAGAAAGTTAAAACTCACAGAAAGGAAAGAGACAAATCTACAGAAAATAATTACATGGTTTAAAAAATATGAGTGTAGCCTGGCCAGTGTGGCTCAGTGGTTGAGTGTGTATCTATGCACCAAGAGGTTGCCGGTTCGATTCCTGGTCAGGGCACATGCCCAGGTTGTGGGCTCGATCACCAGTATGGGGCATGCAGGAGGCAGCCAACTGATGTTCTCTCTCATCTTTCTGTTTCTCTCCTTCTCCCTTCCTTTCTCTCTCACATCAATAAAGAAAATAAATTTTTTAAGAAAAAAAATATATGAGTGTATGTGGCCATTTAGTACTGAGGCAAAAACCCTATTCCCACTGATGGGCTTTGCAAGTGTGTAGCCCCCAAACTCTACTCTATAAGGTAAGGGAAAAGACAAATGAACCCACTTTATAAAAGAAGTTAGCAAGGAAAATAGCTGGTGCCACTTGGTGGGTGCCGAATATTTGAAACAAAAAACTGTCTCTCTTGTGTTTGCAGCTTGAATCCACACCACATCTGTGGTAAAAAAAAATCTCAGTCTGTGCATATACATTAATTTAGTTCTGGATTCACTAGTTTGTAACATCCACTGAGGCAGCAATATACCAATCAAAAGCAAACCCAATCATCTCTTTCAATTTGGGCCCCAAAGAATACTCCTATATAAAGTTCCAAGGAATATGAGCTCAGAGGAGAAAGAACACAAGGAAATAAAGTACTGTGCTCATTTGCCAAGGGAAACAATAGACAGCAGAATCAGACCTTCAGAGTTTGCAGAATGTCAACTAACAAAGTTTAATGAATTTAAAATAATAGACAAAATTAAAAACATGAGCAAGAAAAGAAACAATAAAGAATGACTGAACCCATTCGACAAAGAACAAAATAGAATTTACAGAAGTGAAGAACACAGGAATTTCAGTGAAAAACCCATTGGATGAATTAAATAGCTGATTAGACATAGCTGAAAGGAAAATTGGTAAACTGGAAGATAAATTTGAAATATACCTCACAGACCCAAAGAAATGAAAAGTTTAAGAGAGATTTAGAGGAGACAGAGATAGAATGATGTCTAAGCATGTCTCATGGGAATTCCAAAGGTGACAAGAGAGAGATAGTGGAGAGGCATATGTGAAGATTGCAGCAAGATTTACTTGCATTCTTGAGTGGCCTTGATTAGAGGGACAGAGTCCAGAGACAAACCAGATGGCGACTGCAAGAGTGGAAGGGAGTGGAAAAACCTGTGAGACAAGGTTGGGCAATGCTGTCTGGACCAGGCCACCAATGCAGGCGGTTGTCAGCCCGCCATACCCCACAGCTCAGTTGTTGCCTCCAGGGAAGCGGCTGCCCCCTCTTCTTGCAGCTCTCCAGCATGCCTCCTTCAGGCTCAGCATCCCCTTTGAGATTTGCTCATTTATTTGACAAAGCTACTGTGGAAAACCAAAAGCCGACATCTGATGTCTGAACTCGTAAGAGCCTAGGGGCTTGGCTTCCTGGCAGGGCCTTGCGCTCGGTCTGAGTGAGGGATGCAGTGGTTCAGCAGGAGCCCCCACCACCCAGCTGTGCTCAGTCTCATCTGTCTTCTGACTCAGCATTAAGCACAGACAGAATGTGTGAGAAGAGGGAAAACACTTTTCTTTCCCCCCTTTTCACCAGCAGACGGTTGCCCCCTGGGGATCAGACCAGGCTCTGACCATGCTGTGCTGAGTGTCCCCCAGAAGTAACTAACCGGTCCAGAGCATCACTACTGATTACTGAGCGGATATCTTAGGAAAAGTACCCTCATTTGTTCCTTTCTCTTTATTTTTGACATGGGAGAGTGGAGGCTGAGAGACAGCATCTGTTGCAGATTTATTTATCAGAACTCATTGGCTCTGCCACATTTGGGAGGACAAGCCCTTTCTCCCTGGCCTTGTCCCTTCTCCAGGAAAGTGATTTGGGGCAAAGTTTCTGTCCTACTAGGAAAAATATCTTCCTGATGTTGAGAGTGAACTATTTTTTTTGGTTTTTATGTACACCATGAAAACCAGAGGGAGCCCCAGTGCTGCCAGAGGGGGAGTGAGGGAGAAGAGCCGCTGAGCGCCCTGGTTCCAAGGCTGGGGAGAGCCGCTGCAGCTAAGTGAGGGCAGAGCCTCACTCCACTGTGCTGAGCGCCCCCAAAGGCAGACCACACCCTGCAATCCAATAGGCTGGGGGCAGAAGAGCATCAAGACGGAAAGCAAAGACCTGGCTCTAGAGTGAGCTATTTTAAAAATCATTTAAAGGGCAACTCATTATTTGTTTACTGCTTGTTTAAACTAAAAGGCTCTATGAAACTGGGCTGGCAGGGTTGGGGCTGCACGTAGCTGCCCGTCCGGACCGCGCAGTGTATCTGTCAAGAGCATCCTGGGACTCCCCTGGCAGGGGCTGCCTTCTACTTTAAAACAGGGGAGGGGAAGGTTGTATCATGGAGGAAATCACCATTTTATCCAGTAAAAAGAGCATATTGATGTTATATGAACAGAAGAGTTAAAAGTAAGAGCTCATAAGTGCTGGGTTAGGCCAGTCCATTTGCGAGAATATTCCATAAAGTATCAGTGTTTTCATTTCCTTTTATCCATGTAAGTGATTCTTGTGAAAATGATACTGCCTGCCTTTCCTCAGAAATCCCCATGAAATTAAAAAAAAAAAAATAGCTCCTGGCTCAATGAGGTGCTGTCCCAAGGTCACCGATCTGACCCCGTCACAGCTCCTACGGAGGCTGTGCTGAGCCTCCACCCACAGCCCATCCTGGACGCCTGCCCCACGCCCAGCCCAGGAGCCCCTTCCCGCCTGCTCCCTCTCACCTGCTTCCATTCGCGGTGCCATCTGGAAGGGCAGGGGCCTACCACGTGGTCCTGGCCCAGGCCACCAAGCCTGGCACTCTGCCCCCTCGTCCTTCCCCAGGCAGAGCCCTCACAGCTCCTCAAGTTCCGGGGGGACTGTGCTCTCCTTCCGTGGAGTTTGGTCATGTCTGCTCGGTGATAAAGGCAGGTTACGAGGCTGTGTCGATAGTAAGAGCCCTTTTAATTTAAAAAATTGGGATTGCTCCAAAAATGGTCTAGAATATATAAATGTCAACGTGGTTATTTTCTCAGGGTAGTAGGATTATGGTGGGTATTTTTGTTCTTTCCATAAAATTAGAAAGTAGTATTTTTTTAACATAAAATTAGAAATTTATAAAATGACTGCTTTCTAGAGCAAAGTGAGGAGGAGCTAACTCATTGCCTCATTGATTGATCTGTGCGTAATGAGAGAATCTCAAACTTGTCATTCTGGCATTGAACTTGCCGAGAGAAAGACTGCTCCCAAGCGGGTGGTGCGCGCCTCTGGCTGAGAAGGAGTCTGTGGGTCACCGACAGGAGAGTGTCCTTCCGCTCCCACTGAAAGGTGCAGATTGCTCAGAAATAGCACTGTTGCGTGGTAGATATGACTGAACCATGAAGGACCTCAGCAGCTCCACACTCTTTTGGAGGGGAGGAGCTCTTTGGGGCTAGATTTGAAAGGACAGGAGGAAGTCTGTGATTTAGGAGACAGACTTCATTTTCTGAGACATTTTTAATAAAAACCAAGTTATTCATTAGGAAACATTGACTTTGAAGGTAAGAGATTATACAGGTAACCCTCTTCTCTCTAACATTTACTTTTCTGTCTCATTTCTCAAGTTCAAGCTTTAAAAAAAGTCTTTTTGACATAAATGCAGGCCTCTGGTCCAGACATTCCTCACCAGTTAGAATAGATAGACCCATCCCCGCCCAGTCCCTGGTGCTCCAGGCGGTGAGACCCGTCCCTACCCAGTCCCAGGTGCTCCTGGTGGTGAGACCCATCCCCTCCCAGTCCCGGGTGCTCCAGGTGGTGAGACCCGTCCCTACCCAGTCCCAGGTGCTCCAGGTGGTGAGACCCATCC